CTAACTACTAGCTAACTCTCAATGTCAGCTGGCAACGTGAATTCTTGTAACATTAGCTTGCTAAAATGTACTTGCGAGCGTCAAATCATTTGTGTTTATTGATGGTGTATGTTATATAGCTTCGTATAATGTTTCGATCTAGTCTTGCCGGAATGCAGTGAAGAATGGCAGGTTTATAGTTTCGAACCGCTTTAATCGTCAAAAAGGTACGATCTAGCTAGCACGCCTTTTTTAACGTGTCCAGATGTAAATAAGGTAGATTAAATAAATTAGATAAATTAGATCGGTCGCGTTAAAGTAGGGAGTTAGGCTACCTATTCCGTGAACTAGCCTATTTTAAGACGCCGAGGTCATGTCGATGACAGTTCGGCACTGCACAGATTTGCCCAGTTTAACCGACTTGTCAGGTGTGTGGGTCGGTTGCTTTAATGCACCCGTACCCATGGGTTTTACAAATTTAGAAATGCATAAATAATCAAATTTTACATTTTGAAATCTTTATATGCATGACTTGAGTGTCTCACGACATTTAATTGAACAAATGTTAGTGCAACAAATCAAAGTTTTATCAAATTGTGACAAGCAACTTTATGCCCACAGTTTGTTATGGGGTTTAGAAACTAGAAAACTAGAAAAACTAGAAACTTAGAAACTAGAAAAAGGAATAGAAGAAAGAATACAATTCACTGACAAAAGAACTCGCTTTTCGTTTAGAAACATGCAGGTGTATAGCCTATTAAGCACCATGCACCACATGCCAAAAAGAGAGCTGTCCTTAAATGCACTTAAAGCCGTGGAACATGTAACTTATCAGGAGTACGTGAGGATATAGGCCTATAGGCTACAACATGAAATCATTTCTGGGGAAAATACGCATTTGTACTATAGATAATCTGTTAACCTCCTTTAGTAGATATAGGTATGAATGCAGTCTAATTCACGATAAGACCATGTGTCCAAAACTACAGCAACTGGTTTTCGTGAGAACAGACAATAGGCTACCTAAAATTACGTTTCTAATGAATCACATGAGAATCGCTCGGAATCACATCATTCTTACAAGATATAATTGAACCTCTTTTGACTGGAGTGATCAAGTCTGTTGACAAATGGGCCCCCAGAACCCCAAACATTGAATGCAGCAAGACCATACTTTGCACATGGCCTGCTTCAAGTGCGCTCTACCTACAACAGACAAACTAATACAACATTGCCATGCCGTGTTGCAACTGAGCACAGTCACCAAGCACCAGATGTCGGTAACCAAGTGGCACAATTGCCCGTCGCGTGTTCTTTTTTTTCCCCACACAATCACACATTAGCGTGTTAAAATAATTCCAACGGTCTAACACGCCGATGTGAGAATGTAATGCACAGGAAAAACTATATAAGTGTTAATTTACCTGTTCTTTTTGTATAGATCTAATAATGATTTCGGTGATGCGACTCATGACCCGGTCGCTTACGCCTGTGTGCCGACTTCCAGCAATAAAGGGATTGCGTGCAAAGGCCATGTCTGCTAAAATGGGTACAGGTAGGGAGCTTCCCCGTGACAAGTGTCATAAGGAACCTGGACGATCATTGTAGGGGCACAAAGGCATGTGAATATGAAATATGTTTCTGTGTTGTAGTAAAGCGTATATGGAATACACGCAAGACCTCACTGTGATAAAAAGGAGAATTTATATTTTGTGCTAGATTCGGAGGTTCTGGATACTTACAGGAGGAATTCACATAAACATACCTTGCATGCTGTATGAGGCGACCTAATTGTGCCTTGTTTCTCAGTGTAGCTTTACAGGAGGTTACCAGCGCTCAGATGTGGATGTGACTTAGGGAGTATAATGAGTGTCTTGTTCAAGCCATGCATGTTTGGTAAAGTTTAAATCATTTAAACAACTACCCCAGTAAATCTCATCAGGAGTTAAAGTTAGCACATTCAGTAGAGCTTGCCATGGGAACTGTTCTCGAGAGAACACATAACACCATTCAAACGCAAAGCTGTAACTGAAAGGAGCATAATTTAGCACGTTAAGTGGAACAATCACAGATAAATACATGAGCTTAAATTATCTGTCAATTTAAGTTCATGTAATATCTGTCAATTATCTGTCAATGATAACCAAATTCATCTAAGTGTAAGAAAAAAAATCACATTAAATTTGCGTTGGGCGATTTAACTCACGTCCAGGTTCTTACGGGTTTCTCAGAAAAGGGTGGAACTAGAGGCCAGGTTTAACTTAATAGTTTAGCACCATACAATTCTGCAAGGTGTCGCCGTCTTAGATTTCACACAGTGTCCTGTTACACATTACCTTTGATTTCGATACAGTTTAACTTACGGGGATATTTAAACAGCGGTTAGCGGTGAGAACTTTGACCTGCGAGATAGCAGGACAGAAATGCCGCTGTCGAAATGCCTGAGCCCACGGGCTCTTCGCGCGCTGATCCGAGCGCAGACAAACGACATCGAAAATACCTCGGGCATCGCTTCAGGTGAGGACAGCTCAACATTACATAAAGAAATGAATGCCATTCATTTGGATCATATAAGGTTACGGCAGACCTCTTCCTTTCTTACCTTTTGCACGTCAGTTTATGTGCAGTGTTTGTAAAACGCAGTTGTGATAGGAGGTGATTTGCAAGTCGTTAATCCATTTCCAAAAGTACTTCCGTCCTTTCTAGTTCTTTGTCTTCTGTAGCATTGCCTTTATGATGATGGGATGTTGTTAAGTCAATGCCTAGCAGACACAGACAACATTAACACCGTTAATTTCACAATCGGATGGTTGCCGGGCTGATTGGCAGCATCATGTCTTCTCTTAAAAGGGTACCGGCAAGCCAATGTGGTCATCCTGCACAAGACTCTAGCCGATGACTTTGAGGCGTTTTGTTGTGCCAACAGCGGCCCCCTCCCACTGCTATACCGAAGTGAGCCAGGGGAGTGGGGCTGTCCTCCGCTCGCTGAGGAATCAGACATCAGGTACAATGTCCACCTGAAGTTTCTATGGTACATTTATTGAGAAAAAAGTGTAAAATGGAAATTTGCAGGATCCCTCACAAATAAAGATGTTTACGTTGCATTTACATTTATTCATTTGGCAGACGCTTTTATCCAAAGCGACTTGCAAGTGAGGTACAATACAACACAAGCGAAAAACCATATGGAGTCAACAATATTAGAAGCACTGCATGACCAAATTTCAAAGGCTGGCCAGACAAGGTACAAACTAGCAGGTAAAGCTAACAAGTGTGTTAAACCATTAGATTACAGTTTTTATTTTAATTTTTTTTTTATAATTTAGTAGGAGACAGAAATTCCTTTAGGGGGGTAGTGTTTTAGGTGCTCAGGTGAGAGCAGAAGAGCTGTGTCTTCAGATGTTTCTTGAAGATAGTGAGGGACTCAGCAGAATGGATGAAGTGTGGAAGTTTATTCCACCATCGGGGGACAACGGCAGAGAAAGTCCTGGAAAGACAGAGTTATGGTGCTGGTGTGTGACAGTCTGTAGTTGTGGACACCTGTGGTTGTATGAGGACATGTTGTCGGTGAGGTGGGTTTAGTTAGTCATTGAGAAACAACAAGCTCTTCTTACACAGTTCCTGTGAAGATTAGCAATGAAGATTAAATGTGTCAATCCAATATGTAACTCACTCAGTCCACAACAGACTTTAAATTTATGAATGATTGACATACTCTATCTCTATATTCCAGTCAACAGCACATGCAAAAATGGGTGTATGTGTGGATATAGAGAGAATTTGCAGCACAAAGTATTGTTTTTTCTTTTCTAGTAGTTATTCAATTTTAATAAAGGTTGTGTTTGACATGTACCCTACCCTAAGTTGACATGTACCCTACACATCATTTTATTTTATTAATAGCAGCAGTGCTGTTTTAATGTACAGGTTTAATATTCCTGCAGATGCCAGTGCATTCACATGTATTGTGATCTAAGGCAGTGTTTCTCAGCCCTGCTCCTGGTGGCACCCTGTCCCGCATATCTTCTATCGATCCTTGCTCTACCTACCTGACTGAACTCATCAGTGGCACATTTATTAGCTGAACACACCTGATTTAATCAAGCAGCAAGGATAGATAGAAGATATGCAGGACAGGGTGCAGCCAGGAGTAGGGTTGAGAAACACTGATCTAAGGAAATACAGCCACTGCATATGGCACATGCTCCCATAAAAAATCTTGTCTTATTTAAAATAGTCCAGGAACTTTCTGCCCTTGACAAAAGATGTAACGTCATCTTGCTCATCCCAATCCTAACCTCAACCATTTTGTGTGAAATTTAGATTCTGATCCAGGATCAGTTGGTAAGGGCAGAAGGCACCTGTGCGGATAGGCCGTTTCACTGTTCTTTTTGTGTCTTTGTTTTATCCAATCAGAACCTGACACAGTGGCCACACCCACTGTGATGTCACACTCACGTCTCCTGAGTGTATTGTGTGTCCGTGTTTCCTCCTCTTTGCAGAGTGGACTGCCCGCGGTACTGTGTGTTTGAGAACGGCCGCCTCTCGGCCACGGTTCGTGACCTGACCTCCTTCACCCCGCAGATGCAGGACATGGTCACCTTCTACCTGGGCTGCAGCTTCAGCTTCGAGCGCACCCTGCAGGACGCGGGCGTCCCGGTCCGAAACGTGGAGCAGAACCGCAACGTCAGCATGTTCAGGGTGAGGGGGACTATCGGTCACGGCTCAGTCCAGTAACAGTGTTTAAGTGCCTGGCCGAGCTTAAAGGCTGCAGTTGCTGTGGCCCTCTGCATGGGACCAGAATGACCATGTGACTGATTGACTAGCACTGATTTGCCATTATCGCTTGGACCAACAGTTAATCAGTGCAAATCTCCTCCCTGGATAAACATTGCATTACATTATTGGCATTTAGCCGACATTCTTATCTAGTGCGACTTATATTACAGTTTTACATATTATCCATTTATACAGCTAGATATTTTGGGTTAAGTACTTTGCCTGAGGGTACAACAGCAGTGCTGCAGTGGGGAATTGAACCGACAGCCATTCAGTTATGAGCCCAATTCATTACCATTACACCACACTGCCGCCCACAACATTGCTGTCATGGCTGTAATACCTTAACTCCACAGCACATTATACGTTATATTATCTATACATGACATTATTACATTATTGGAATTTAGAAGATATTCTTATTCAGAACAACTTACATTGGTTGCAATATTTACATGTTATCCGCTTATACAGCTGGATATTTACTGAGGAAATTCTGGGTTAAGTACCTTGCCCAAGGGTACAACAACGGTGCCCCAGCGGGGAATCGAACCAGCAGCCTTTCAGTTATAAGTTCTGCTTCTTACCACTATGCTACACGGCCACCATCAAAGTCATCAACAGAGCCGGGTCAGGGTGGCCGCACCTTTGATGGCGCGTGGTTGGTCAGCTCTGCGTTGGTGGGCGGGGCTAAGCCTCATCCTCCTGCCCCTCCCTCTGCTCCTGCGCGCAGACCGCGGTGCTGTGCCGCGGGGCCGGCGGGTTCCGGTGCCCCATGGTGGTGACGATGCGGCCGATCCCGGAGGAGAAGCTGGACGCCGCCGCGCTGGCCACACACCTGACCCCTCAGGCCCACGGGGGGCCCGTCCACATCGGGGACCCAGGTGGGCACGGACGCACCTTCACCTGTCAGGGGACAGGGGTTTAACCCAGTCATGGAGTGTGGATGAAGCAGAAGGTTTTCTAAGCTAAACTAAGATAAGGGGCTAAGTGCACATTCTACATATTAGGGGGTATATATAACTGTGACTGTAAGCTGATTTACAACAACAGGTTATTGAGAGACACCCTCTTAGATGTTACTTAGACTGAAATGGCAGTCAGTATTGAAGTGATGCGTAAGGGTGTAATATCACACATGAACAGTAGAGGGCAGCAGAGTGGCAATGTAAGAAAGGCTTGAGCCTCCTCAGGTCAGGAGCATTAACATGAAAGCAGTTGAGAGATGCTGAGCATGGTTGTATGGTGAACGTTTACCGCCGCAGTCGCTGCTGTGCACCCTGGGAAGGCAGGTCCCTCAGTCCCCCCCCATCTCTCCGCAGCTCTGCTGGGGATCCGGGATGCGTCGCGGCCGGAGTACGGCGACGCGGTGGACCCCGCCCCGGGCGACGTGCCGGTGTTCTGGGCCTGCGGGGTGACGGGCGTGGAGGCGGTGCAGAGCTGCAGTGAGTGGAACCGGAGGGACCCGTTCCGAGCGGGACCACCCGAAAAAGCACACGGTCTTATCAAAGCGCAGGAGCGCGTTTCTGCGGTAGAGCCGAAACAAAGCCTGAAGCTCGAGTCACCTTCGCTCTTTCGCAGTCTTTTTTTCGTCGTTTGTCAGAGGTTGAGGAGGAACTTTAGCAGCACCCCACAGTCAAAATTTCCTTGACCTCAGACCAGTCATGTGACCACAATTCAAAAAGGCATTGTCATTTTCAGTATGCTCAAATAAAGTGGTATACATTTCCATCATTCATAACAACAATGACCTACAGTAACAACCACAATTGTATCCAGCAGCGGTCAAAACGTGAAGTAATTAGACTGACATTTAATGAATAAAAGTGAAAAAAGGAAACCAAGGTGATTGTAGTTGATGTGCACAACCATCACAGAAAAGCTGACGTGTGTTGTGCTCATGGTTGCTGGCCTCCTTCTGAACCACCCGGTTTCATCCGGACTGGTTTGACCTTTAACCTTTGTGTTTTTGCAGAGCCGCCGCTGGCGTTCACTCACTCTCCTGGCTGCATGTTCGTCAGTGACAGAGAGGAGACCTCAACTGCTGCGGTGACCTCTGACCCTGAACAGTGTCCCTTGACCTTCTGCATCTCCCAGCGGCCCCTGCACTACAGCCTGGTGTCCAAGGCAGCTGTCGAGCGGATCCGGACCCTGGAGGAGATCATTGGGGCGGATCCAGGTATCCCAGCATGCACCGCTGCTTCCACAAGCAAACAGAGCGCTAACAGGCACATCTGATGATCGGTTTGCATGAAGGAGCTTTCTTGGGTCTCAAAAGAGCTTTAAGGTGAAGAGGAAGGGGTAAAGGGTTTAACGATACATTGGTTTGTATCGGTGCATCGATACAAAAGCAATGTTACAGCTGTATCAATGTTGCATGTGCATCTATCCTATCTATCCCTATTAAAAAAGCACTCTGCACTAGTTTAGCATTTAACTCAGTATTTTACTGACCTCTTGTAGTACTTTTCGGTAACCACTCTTAGCATTGTGCTGCACATATTTGGAAGTCACTCTGGGAAAGAGCATCTGCTAAATTACGTAATGTAATGTAATGTGAGAATGGATCTCTGTCATTTTTTCTAAATTAATATAAATTCACATTATTTCATCAATTTGGATGAAAGTAATGCATAATACTGTATATAATGTATGTGTAATGTTCAGATACTGTGTATTTTTTCAAAGCATAGAATAATTTTAAGGTTATGTTGTGTCGAAATTTAGCGTAATCAAACTGTATTGCATCGAGTCAAAGTGAATTGTAAGATATATTCTGATATATGGTATCATTGCTTAGGTATGAATACTGAATCATGTTGTTGTTAAGCCAGAGGTTTAAACTGGGAGGGGGTAACTCCCCTCAGCCACCACCAGTATGTAGCCCTGAAATGAGGCACAGCAGCCACCATTTTGCACCAGAACACTCACCTCGCACCAGATGAGACTGAGAGGGAGGGATTGGCAGGGACTTATTCTAGCCTGTTAAACCCAGCATGATTACCAGGATTACAGAGAGACGTGGCAGATATTGTCAATTTTTGATATGGTAGATTTTTACGGTACCAAAAATCAACCATATCTCCTCTTTGATACCACTCTCACACGAGGCTGTCACAGAAGCCGCAATAGTGTGTGTATCTTTGCATGATCTGCACAGGGAGGACAGAACGGACTGCAGGCTTGTCCTTGAAAATTTAGAAGTAATAAGCATGCCATTTTGCTTGTTACATCTTGACCGCTTCAAGATCGTATCTACATCACTTTGATTTTGCGGGGGAGGACATAAAAAAAGAAGCTTGCAGAGACTACAGGGGGCACGTGGGAGCAGTTAGCCCACAAAGGAGCAGAGCAGGAGTGTGTGTGTCCACCAGGCTGTGACCTCTGACCCCCTGTTCGGCCCCTGCTCCAGGGCAGAGGGGCATCCGGGCCCTGTTCGTGCGGGACGAGCTGCTGAAGTCCTGTCTGTCCCTGTCCCACGCCTCCTCCGTGCTCATCACCACCGGCTTCCCCACCCACTTCAAACACGACCCCCCCGAGGAGACTGACGGGCCCCCCGGCGCCATCGCCATGGCGGCCACCCTCCGGGCCCTCGGTAAGGAGGTTGCCATAGTGACAGACCGCCGTGCCCTGGAGCTGAACCTCCGCATCATGGAGGATGCTGTGGAGAGAGGTAAGGGAATCGAGGCAAGCCTGAAACCGTAGCAGACAACAGGGCTGGCATTTCAGCTAATACAAAATACATGACTACACAGCGTGTGTGAGTGATTGTGTGTGTGTGTGTGAGTGTGTGAGTGTGTGTGTGTGTGTGTGTGTGTGTGAGTGAGTGAGTGTTTGTGTGTGAGTGTGAGTGTGTGTGAGTGTGTGTGTGTGTGTGTGTGTGTGTGTGTGTGTGTGTGAGTGAGTGAGTGAGTGAGTGTGTGAGAGGATGTTATTTCACGCTGAGTGCCCTTTACTGTAATCTGTGTACGGATGATCCCAGTTCCGCTGTTCTCACAAACCAAGAATTTCAAACAGCCCAAACAGCCAGTACAGGAATGACTCTGTCCCAGTGTTTTTGATCACTATGTGCAATCAATTCTTATAACAGTACGTCTTACAACTGCAGCATACTCAATAATAATAATAATAAAAAGAAGAAGAATATGAATAAGAATTATTATTAGTTGTAGTAGTGGTGGCAGTAGTAGTAATAATGACAATGATAGTAAGCAATTTTCCACGAATAACTGCATGTTTTTCAGTAAACCTGATCACACCACCTCAAGTGGCACTGCACACATATTTAAGGACCTTTCACATTTGCCCTTTGACCTCCTGTCCCCCTCTGTTGTGTCACCCGGGTGCTAAAAGAGGTGTGAGCAGGCCTTTTGCTATCGCGGTGATTAAAAGTGATTTTATCTGGTGCGTCAGAGGCAGGCGATACAGCACGCCCCCACCTCAAACCGCATCCCCTGACGAACACACCCCGCTCAGAAGCACCACGTTTCTGATTTCCTCTGGGTGGATTGAAGTTAATGCTGACGGATCTAATGATGAAAGAGGAGCTGGTCTCTTTGGGCTGCCATGATGTGGTCTGCTGGCGGGGCGGAGCCGGGGAGGATTGGCACTTTGAAATCTGAAACAGGCACAGCTGTATTCACAGGACCATATTACATTAATGACGCAGAGCTGTGCGCATTGTTTTCTTTTTATATTCAATATATATATATATATTTTTTTTTCTACCTACTCATTCAGACCAAATGCGGACTGTCCGCTCCCTTTTCCCGACTCTGGCTATAATAAACCCAACCCTCCCGCCTCCAGTTCTCTGCAGACCATCCCTCTCCCCGGGGTGTGCGTTGTGTTAACCTCACCACACCCCTCCCACCAGCGCTGTTGTGCACGCTCCTTTGAAACCCGTGCCGCTAATTGAGGATATTATCCTCCCTGCAGCCTTTGATGAGGTCGGGCTGCGCTCCAGGAGGAGAATTTGACCGCTCCTCATGGCACAGCGTCTCCGCCTCCCTCGGATTTCTCGGTTTTCGCCTGAGAGCTGCTTTCTTGAGGTCGGACCACAGATGGTCAGGCCGAGCTGAGGTCTGGAGATTGCGATGACCACGCCGGGAGATTGCTCAACTGACGTGAAGAGGCTCCTGAGTGCCTCAGCTGTTTAAGGCACTCATTTCTAGGGCAGGCTGAGCCCTGCAGTCCAGTCTTTCACAGGTTCGAGGCTGGCCTGTGTCATTAGCTGATGAGACTGGGAGTCCGCATCAGAGGAACGCAGTTGGCTTCATTCTGCTGGGGGTTAGGGTGGGTTATGTCGGCCA